GAGCTCGGTACCCTGCGACATGAACAACTTTCGCGACTCCATCACGAGGTACACCACCTCTTCCTCCGTCATCTCCCCCGTCGCGAACTCCCGCGGGTCGGAAATGCTGCTACTGCTGAGGCCTCGAGTGCGACCGGTGCGATTGGCCGAATCTGCCTTGGGTGCCGCAGCCGCAACCGCAGCTGCCGTCTCTGCCTGGAAGGCCTGCAGCCGCGACTGCCTTGAAAAAGACGAGAGAGGGCTATTCGCATCTCGTTTCAGCGCGGCGGTGTTGTGGGCCGGGTTCAGCAGCAGCTTGCCGATAATGACCTCTGCCTTTGAAAGCCCAATCATTGTCTCGCAGCTCGACTAGAATTATGGCACCTATAAGCTTCTCAATGTTGCACGTGCACGAGTGCGACAACTCGCAGATCGCCACCAGCACTTTACCAAGAGAGACAAAAAATGAGATGTAGGCGATTACCAGCCACTTAACAAGGCTGACGGGGCCGATGCATGCACCGGGTGAGTGCGCATGCAGTGATGACGGCAGAGTGCAGCGTGGTAAAGCAGCCGAGCAGAAACAAGGCGGCGAAACAGAGGGTGTTGACGATCGTCAGCAGGGGAGTGCGCAAGGGAAGGGGAAGGGGTGGGGGCACAGGAAGGGACGCATGCTTTGTCGCGTCGATTTTTGGCATCTTCCTCCTCTCCGCAGCGACGTGCGCAGAAAAGTGCCACGGCAACGTACATCATTTGTTTGCCCTTCTATATACATGTACATATAGATATATGTATCTATATATGGATGTATGTATATGTAGATATATGTGTGTGTATGTGCAAATGTGCGAGACAGCCATGCAAAGGTCTGGCGGAGCTGGTGCTTCGTCGGAAAATTTGGCACAGTGTCCGCTCACCGCCGTGCACCCGTATCGCCCCTCCTCCTCCTCCACCCAGCTTCAGTGTGCACCCGTAAACCAAATACCAGTCCGCATCCAACAACGGAGCACGAGACGAGACGCAGAGGAAGGAGAAGGCATCATACGTAATCCGCTGAGAAAGGACCGCAACGGAGGGAGTGGCATACCACGACCTGCGTCAAAACAGGCGCCTCTCTCTCTCTCTTGCTGCAGCACCCTTTTCGTCCCTCCGCATCACTGCCCTTTTGCCGCGCGTTCGTCAGCGCCGTCCAGCGATTTCAAGAGGCGCCGCGC